ATGTAATATAAAAGTACTTTAAAAAGTTAATATTGTATGAAGTGGTCCATGAACTTTTGGGATCAGAAATAGCTGGCCCTTAGATGAAAAAAGGTAGGAACCACCAAGACAGAAGACAGTCCAATAGAGACCTGGCCAATAACCTGACTTCAGGTTCAGGTGTCCAAGTCACCCTAAGAATAACAAGAAATACTCAGTACAGCCTCAATAAACAGGTAATTGCATTGAAACCTTTGTTGTAGAAAAGCATGCAATGAAAAGAAAGGTTGAAATCCATAATGGAAATTAAATAGTGGCATGAGCATGCTCTGAGAGAAGAAATGAGGACAGTATCACTACTAAAGTACAACAGCTCAAATGAAACATAAGGTGAATCTATGTAGCTTTCAGGTACTCTAATGGTATTGAAGACTTAGTGAAAATTTGATACACTGATAGCAGATCCTAGTACACTATGACATTCCATTGGGAATGTGCCTAATTAGTCAGAGCTTTGTGTTTCAGCACAATAATGATCCTAAGCACGTGATCAATATGGTAAAAACCTACTAGGAGGGAAAATTGGCAGATAGAACACTAAACTTCCTGCCTTAGCTTGCCCAGATCTTGGATCTGAACATGACTGAGTGAATTTGAAACTACATGGATAAAGAGATCAAGAGACAACCAACAAACCTTGAAAACTGTTTGATAAACTACAAGTATTTAAAGGAATATTTTTATTTACTTACTTTCATCAAAGAAGTCTACTACAGCATACTGACCAGGTTTCCTGTTAATATTTGTATGCTGTCATTATGATTCAGTCTATTGTAAGTCTGTAGATCTAATTAAACTTCTATGAAACAGATTTCTGTCTTCTTTCATGGATGTTTCCAATGTGAAGCTGAGGATCAGTGTGTAATTATTTGAAATCAGTCTGGTTGTAAGTGTGTGTTTTTAGTGATTAAGGGGTTAAGTATTCAATTACATAACATATGAAAAAGCATATTGATATATATAAATGGACAAAAATTAAATTCTAACTGTAGGACATTTTGCAAAATTAAATCAGTTTTTCTGAGTGAAAAAGTAAAATATAGATTTGAATTAGATATCTTAATATTAAAATGATCAGTTACTTTTTCTTAAATACACAAAATGCCTATTTTTGTACCATTTTTCAGTAAAGTGTATTGAAAGTTATTTGTCTGTAATTGAAAATTACTTTTAATAACATCTTTATTTCAATAAACATTTAAATTAAGGCTTTTAAACATGAGAAATTAAAATCATGATGCCCTAATAACTTTCTCACCATCAGTCACATCTGTTAAAGTTGAAATAGTTATTTTGATGGTTACTGCTCTTAAAATGGCTAACCACTATAGTTTTGCACTTTAATTGTCAATTTTTTTCATTTTGTAGTAATTCATGAAATATGCTTTAAATATCAACATTATTGCTTATCAGCTAACTGTGAACTAACTTAACATGAAGTTTTGTATCTTTTTGCAAAATGCACATTTGATTTTATCTCTTGTTCGGCATAATGATCACTTGATCATAGCTTGCACTCCCAAAGGATCAGTTATATCAGTAAGGAATCTATCTACAAAAACTACATATACATATATGTGCTCTTCATTAATATTTAACCCTAATTACCTTTAATTGGTAACTCTATGCATCGTTTCTTCTGTGTTATTTCAAGTAGCTAAAATATTTTGAAAAATGGTAATGGGATTTTCTTTTTAACAGTTGTTTATCTCACACTTAGTTATTTAATTTAATTTATGATATTCACTAGTAAAGAGAATTAACAATTTAAAGAAAAATTTGAACTAATCAATTCAAACAAAAGGTTATATAAAAAATACTTTACTTAAATTGTGTGTATATATTTTTTCCCAACAGTTCAATGATCTCTTGTTACTATGTAGTCAGCGTTTAATATCAAACAGAGTAGTTTCTGGCCCATGTTTCCGAGTGAGGGCTAGACTGAGTGTTGAGGGTCTTGTGATAGAGGAAGGTGACAACCTTGAAACAGCTAATACGTTTTATGTCCGCAGCACTGGAAGGTCTATTGAGCTCTACACACAGTAAGAAATAAAACAGTCTTTGTTCTTTGGCACTAACTAAAGTTAAGCTTCTAAGTTTGATGCTTAGTGTATTCTGTGCTTCTGAGGAACCTAAATGCAGCAAATAAAAAAAATTTTAATATTGCTTACCATTTCTGTGGTAATTTAGAGGTAGACATTCAAATGATGTAGATTTTATAATAAGCAACTTCAAAAATAAATTTTAAGTAAAATATTGTTTCAAAGGATTCTGAAGATGGAAAGGTTAACCTCAAATAAAATCCACTCTTGTTTCATTAATGAAACAAAAAATAAGAGTGTATTACTAATTTCAATTCAAACTTTTTAAAATGCATGGTATATGTATCAAATTGTCAAATAAGCTTTAACAAAACAGTGTAAGAGTTAAAAGTTAAAATTTGCTCCATTGGTTTTCAACCAATGACTGAAAGTACAACTTTGATTTTTAGTACATGATAATATTGAAGAAATTGCAAGGATACAAGTATGAATACTTTTGCCAAGTTACTAGTGAAACTTTGAAAAATATTGTACTGCATTTTAAAGCCAGCCTGGTTTTGGGAGAAATGTTTTCAGTCTGTGTAATTCATCATTTATTTCTATATTAAACATAGCCTAAGAGTAGTATCAAAACATTAAGATCAAAGGTGAACATTGAATCATAGTTTAATTTCACCAGCAGTGTAATTTTGTTTTTACTTTCTAATTCTAGAAAGAAGTATAGATATGTTATGCAAGTTTTTGTTGTTGGTGGTGGTGTTGTTAAGCTCAAAGCTATATGGCAGGCTATATGTGCTATGCTCATCACAAATATCAATATCTGTTTTTTAACATTATAAGTCTTAAACCTTACTGCTGAGCCCATAGGAGTATCTTATGTCAATGTGCTTCTAAAAAGAAAATGTTTTATAATGTATTGAACTCTGATTTTTAAAGTGTGCAAATAACACATTGTTTTTCCTTTCTTTGAGCAATTGATCTTAAACTTTTAATTTTTGGTCAGGACTCCAGAGGACAAAATGGCATGGATGGAGGTAAAAACCATATTTTAATGTTCTACTTTTTTAATTTAATTAATTGAGTTTGAAAATTTTCATGGAGACTAGTCGTATCCTGAAAGCATTTTAAATTAAAAAATGCTTAACCTGCAAGATAATTTCATCCTTACTCACATAATTCTCTTTATTACTTATTCATTTTGAAAGTACAAATAATTCAATTGGCAAGAGGCATATGTATTTTTGTGTAGCTTTACTTGTCATAATGTTCTTTTGCCAAGATGACATGTATGTTAATGTAACTGATGCATAGTGTATGTCCAAATTAATGGATCAACTATGAAATGTATAGTGTATGTCTGCATCTGCATTTCAGTTATTGAAATAAAATGTGTTAAGAATAATCTGAACAACCATTCTTGAAAGTATTCATTTCAGAAATTTTCTTCATGTTTAACACAAATATATATAAAAAAAAGTAAGCTCTAACCTTATCATTGAACAGTTAAGGGTATTTTGTGAATTTTTTAGAATTCTATTTTATAGAATCAACAGTTATTATACAAATTAATTATTTATTGAAAATTACACCTTAATGTTTATTGTCTAGGGTGATATCTTTGGGGTGTCTAGGGTGAA